ATGGAAACATATTGAAATAGACTGAACGGTGACTTTTGTTTGACGAACGTCGAACGAAAAAAATTGTAGCAGCCAGTTTTGATCCGTTTAATAATAGAACGTGTCAATTACAAGAGCTCCATTTGCGAGTTTACACCGCGTACGAATATGTACGAATATGTACTTGTACAAAACAGAAAGGACCAGTTCCTATCGCCGAAATATCGAGAGTACAATTGCGATTTGCATCGGCCGCCTGCCTCTCGACAAAAAATATGCGCACCCGCAGTGCGCCGAATAATGGCGAGAAAAAAGAATAGAAGGTAACAAACAACGAAAAAAATAAAATAAAATAAAGTAGAGCGAATGTCGTACTCGGTGAATCGCCGCGGACTCTTCTTCACGCGAATGCATTTCAAGCATAACGCGCTCGTGTATTATGCGTTCGAATAAATTTGAATGCGAATGAAGGTGTAACAAAAAAAAAACAGAAAGGAGCGAAGAAGATAGGAGGGTGAGGGGGTGGGCGAGAAAAAACAAAAGAGTGGATACATCGCGAGTAATTTTGATCGGCTCGACACGCGTGTGCGACGTATATTTCGAAACAAGAAGAAAATTGAGATAAATCGACGTCTCTAGACAACGATCGGGACCTGTCAATTAATCGATCTACTTCGGTTCACATTCCTTTTTACCGGATCCTATCTTTTAATTGGAAGGACAGCACATCGGCCGACCGACCGTTCGGCCGATCGGACGGATTAGGCCGGTTCTCTTGACTTGGAAAGATCAATAAAAGCTGCCCGAGAGAGCTACAGTCCAAACCATGTTTCCCGCTGGCATCACCGACCTTATCGTCGCCATCACGGAGCTCCGCTGGAAAATGGCATCCAGTGCGCGTCAATATTTTTCTACGCCACCGTTGCGGCCAGAAAGACGAAGCGCGGATCGTTGATGACTTATCTCTACTTTCTACCGTCATCTGTTTCACGCGAGCCACCGTTCTTTTTCACAAAGGGCTAATTAATTATCCCGATTATCAAAGTTCCCCGCCTGTGACCTTTTCGGAGAGGTAAATTCTTTTTATTAGACTCTCTTTCACGTGTCGCGAGTTAAAAGATTAGTAGACTGGAAGGATAAAAGGAGCGCGAAAAATGACTGATAAAATGACTGAGGGGAAGGCCCATCGTAGTGGCGAGTGTCGCTTGTACTCAGCCATTGTGTCGAAATGCAAATCGCTCGATAGCCAGCGGCGGACGGAAATGATGGAGCGGCGAATCTATGTGTGCGGGCATCTCCCTGCGTCGCGCGACGCGTCGCGACGCGTCGCGACGCGGGAAAAAGCTTTCCTTCTGATACCGCCACTCCTCTTCACCGCTCCGCGCGCAGCTCGTAGAGGAATCTGACTCGTCAGACTGGTTTATTAAATTTTCACGGTACGGCGGACACGTTTAATTTTACTTTGTATTGATTTTACCGCAGAATGGGAATACGGTGCGCGGACGGACGATGTAATTCTTTTCCACAGTCTGCACGGAGAGAGTTGAACCTCGCAGCACACAATGTGCGACGATACGAAGCTTCAATCGGCAGTGTACCCAATGAAAATTGACTCGTCCGCGCGTCAATCAATCGATTAATAGTCGAAAAGTACACAGCGCGTGGCTGCGAAAGCCGCCGGTCGTTTTGTGCCGTGCGCAAATGTATATTACGTATGTATGTATAATATGTGAAAATCGCTGTGGAAATATTTACAATAGCCCGCGAGAATCGTAGAAATTTGAAAAATTATTTCAAAACACCGGACCGGATATCGATAAAAGTCTGTCAATAATTAATGGACTGTCCTGCGATCCGCCTGCACAATCTTCGCTTCGTCGAGCGTCTAGATCCCCTCCCTCAGTCCTCTCATTGACAGATAAAGCGTTCCGAAACATATGTGTAGTCGAAGTCATCTCGGGCCGGACGATAGGTTTTCGAAATTAGAAAATACCAGCACGCCTTGGCCGAGAAACAATTATTTGTTGCAAGCGTCTCATGAAGTACGTGCAACGCCTCGATGAAACTGTTACTGTACACTCGTGTACTGTATATATCCGTCCGTAAAATGTCGTGCACGTTTCTGGCGTTTCAGTTTGTTCTGATACAAGACTAGAACCGAGTAGTGCCTCGGCAAGTAAGCAAGCCGGCAAAGATAGGGATAAAGTTTTGATAAATATCTTTTAAAATGTATCGCAATGATAGCACCTCGCGCGTCGGGTATATTTAAAATTATATTGTAACCGTAGGATTTATAGCACTTTCTTGGAGAAAGAGCCGATAACGTTTCGTTAAATCTTTAAAATCGTGATAGAAATTTAATGGATATCGACACGCAATGTACAGACATCAAATCTTGCCGACTGATCAAGACTGCGGTACATTGGCATACATCGGCGTACATTGGCGTATTACCAAAAAGCGATTATAAGCCGAGAAATGAGAGATTATACCCTGAGATATAGTTACGTGCTTCAGACACGCTATGCTCACATGGACTGTTTTTCGAGACAGCATAATGGAGATGTAGCGTAACATGCCTGTGCTTATTTTAATGAGAGTCCAGCCAGTGGAAACTTTTCCCGATAACATTCCCGGCTCCATCGAGCTTTCAAAGTAGTTGAGTCGGTTTGTGATTTATGGCTGATACAATAAGTCCGTTTCCACTTGAATATATATATATTTTTTTAATTTATATCGATAAAACGAGCAACATATAATTCCCGGATGTGATTACTTGATAGATACAATTACGTTTCCGTATTTCGACAGTCTTCGATACATGCGTTTCCTCCCTTTGGCAGGTTTATTGAGAGAAATTGTGTCGATATTTTCTATTTGAAGACGTTCGTTAAAACATTATTATTAATACTAACGTATATATACGAAACTAATTGTCCGGACAGCGCGCCATTATATTGTATATTGAAATGTGATAACATTAATTTCATGCAATTAGTTGTCTAAATACAAACTATTAATTGTCCAAATATAAATATAAACTATTATACCGTGATACATGAGTGAACATTTTGCAATACAATTTTTAATAATAGATTGAATAAGTCATCGATATAATGCACTGTTCAACCAATTAGGTTCATGACTGTACGTAATATTGCGTAATTAATTTTTATCTCTTATTATTTTTATATTACTTTATCGAACCTTTGTTTCCCAGCGGAATATTGATTCCAATCTCGATTCGAAATCCTGGAATTCTTTTTTTTTTTACATTATCACCGTAATAATAGATGACAATAGGAAGCCTTGGGCACGTAGAAAATTAGTTCCGAGCATTACTGCAGGAATAGTCGTCAGTATGAGTCGTCGTAACGTCGTTGAATAATGCATTCTCCGTTACAGCAATGATATTTACAAATGAATACTTCAAAATACAGACGTAATTCTTCGTAATAAAAGCAAAAAATTATTCATACGAAATGCAAGATGCGATTCCCTTTTATGCTTTTTACAACACATCAAAGGAAAAGCGCGTTTGCTTCTACCTTCTGCCTCTATCATGCAATATATAAAAGCGTGTTTGCTTTATTTCCATATAATCCAATATCTTTCTCGATACCTAAAGCTACGCAAACACAATAAACACACCAATACACCTCAGTGTGCTGTGTCAGACGAAAAAGACAGTACTTAGCCTCTAACGCGTAATGACAACACGATTGAGCGACCGTATCGTTAATCTCACGCAAATGTGTCTTTACGAAATATTATTCAGAGAGTGCTTGCAGTATTATAATGTTCGCGCACGCGACGCAAGATAATTATCCCCGTGTAAGATCTCTCCCCTCCTTCAATAATCCCCGTAATTAGAATCGAAACGTTTTCGTCGAAATGAAAAAGAAATGTTCTGTTAATTTCATTTAGTAATTTTATTTCATTACCACTGATAATAATTAATAATCCAAATAAATGGCCCGCTCGCCTTTACGTAATTTCGCATTAGAATATTCAAATAAGTTACCTCGTGCAATTTAAATTCTTTCGTCAGCGATCTCAGAAAGTTAGGTCTCTAAAATTAATTAACATGTTATATTTATATTACTGTACTTCATCTAATTACAAATAGCAATTAAGGGCCGAGAAGAAAACGTTTGTTATGCAAACATAGTTGTGTCACCGGTTTAAATGCATACAGAAAACAGACGTTGTTATTCCCCTTTGAAAGATCGTGTCGGCGCGTTCCACAAAGGATCTAATTAATGATATTAAGACTCCGTATTATCAGATTAATTGAACGATCTCTCGTCTGTTGTCGTTTCCGCCTTGTTACGTTGTTACCTCGTTACCAAATTGCGGTTTTTATTGATAACAAAACCCGCAATTTGGTAACAAAGTAATATGGCGAATCAATAAAAAGGTACGGAGATATAGCGCGTTCCGTTTCACCGTCCACGATTTTTTACCTCTCTCTCTCTCTCTCTCTCTCTCTCTCTCTCTCTCTCTCTCTCTCT